ACGGCTCCATCCCTGCGCTCACTGCTCCTTCTTACCGTGAGGGTGTCCAGGTCCAAGTCAGGCCCCTCCTTCTGGAAGCCCTCCTTCCTTCTCCCTCCAAACACACTCTAAGACCCTGCCTCTAATTGACTGCAGAGGCCCCTCCATCCCTCTCCTGTGTCAAGTAGCCAGGGCACACGCTCATAGCCACATGGGCAGTTTATTTATAGAGCACTCATCTTTCCCAGGGTGGCCTTGGAAAAAGCTCTGGCCTTCCAGGCAAACATACCTGGGTTAGGATCCCAGTGACACTGGAGTCCTGCAAATCCCTTCCCATCTCTGGGCCCTCTTCTCAATGCCTGTACGTGGACGGGGCTGCTGATGACCTAGGCATAAGGCTGAGGATGAGAGCCTCATGGTCCTACCCAGGGCTGAACACAGAGCAGGGATGCAGCATCGGCACCTCCGTCTTCCCTGCCACCCCAACTGGGTGCTAAGGTCTGCCAGAGGTCATGTCCCAATCCTGAGTCGGGATGGGGGTGGGGGCCTGCTGGCTGATCTCAGGCAAAATGCCTCCGGCTCTGGTCCAGCCCTCCTGCCTAACCTGGCAGAAGGGCTGGCCCTATAACGGAGGGAGTGGGCCTGAGCAGCCCTACCACCACTTCCTCCTCCCCCTGCAGGTAGCCAGCCTGGTCCTTCTTTGAAAACTGACACCAGAGTTGTCAGACAACCCTCGCCTCCCACCTGGTGCCCATTTCCCAGCCCTTACACAGGCCTGTGTCCACCTGGGAGTTGGGGCTGGGGGCTGGGCACTAGCTTGAGTGCCAGACTCCAGCACCAGTGATTGTGTGACTCAGACTAGGACTGGACCCTTCTGCCCTCTGAGTCTGGGCTCCCCATTGAGCAGCTTTGGAAGGAAAGGGGTGCCCTGCCAGTGCTGCTGCAAGGAGCCCTGCACCCAGGGCCTAACACACATTAGGGCCTCAGGGGGGGAGCGTCCTCTGCTGGCCCAGAATGAGAGCCTTGCCTGAGGAGTCCAGGGCAAGCACCAAACTGGCCCCTACGCACAGGAGTGGCCTTGAGTTTTCGCCCCTAACCCCCAGCACACACTCGGGAGCACTGGAGACCCTGGGTACCAACCTCGCTGTGCATTCTAACACATAGTAGGCCCTCAGCCTACGATGGCTGCCCTTCCTCAGGAAGAGGCCTGGCCAACACAGATACGGGAGCGGGAGAGGAGAGGCTGTTGGCCAGGCCAGCCCCACCCAGCTGGGCATGTGGTGCCCATGAGGACCCCACCCCTGTGCCTATTCCCAGAGGTGAGGGGGGGACATGTGGCACATGTACCACACAATGAAGAAGGACTAACGTTGGGCTGGGAGGGCTTCCTGGGGGAGGCAGTGGGGCTGGGGCTGTACCCTGAAATGGTCAGGAGGGTTCTAGAAAGGGGAGACAGCAAATGCAAAGGCAGAGTACAACCAAGGCATCTGGTAGAGAAGGATGAGGGTGAAAATGTAAAGTTCAAAAAGGTCCTGGAAGGAAAACCTCGATGCTAGGATGAGGAGTCTAGACTATATTTTGCAGGCAAACAGTACAAGTTACCTTAGGGAGGCCACTCTGGCACCGTGTGTGAGGGAACTGGAAACGGAGGCAGAGTTTGGGAGTTTGGGCAAGGACAGCAAGGCCCAAGTTGGAACATAAGAGACACCCTGATTTTTGCAAAGGCATGTCTCAGGCCTGCTTCCAGTCCTGGGCCATGTCCAGTCTTCTGGGGGACGTGTGGCAGGACAGAAGGTAGGTTCCCTGTCTGGAGGGTGAGAGCCAGAATATCAGGGTTGTGCGGGGCCTTGGTAAGTCCCAGCACTTCTCAGAACCTCGTCTCTCCCTCTGTAAAATGAGGCTGACCCTATGAGCAGGGGAAGGGGGCTGAAAGCTTCCCCTCCTTGGCCAGAAATGGGCACCTGCCTCCAGCAACTGTCACATGAGTCCCAACTGGGGCCACACTGGAAATCCAGCCGGGCCCCACCACCATCCCTGTGGTCCAAGCAGCACAAGTTCCCAAAAAGGTTTGGCTTGGGCAGGGCACAGGGTGGGGCTGGGACCAGAAGAGGAGGTTAACCCTTGGTTAACCCTTCCCCTCTCCCTCCCCTTCCAGGGTCCTGAGCTATTTCCACCTCTTTGCTGGGGATAGAAATAACTCAGGCTCAGCCCCAGGAGACCAAGACAGCTATTCTGATCAGCCCCAAGAAGCACAACTCCAGTCATTCCAGAGAGGACAGAGGGACACCCAGATCCCCATCTCCAGCTCTCGGCAAATCAGCAGCAGTGGGCAGAACTAGCAGGGGCCTCAGGGAAGAATGGGGACACTGAGGCCCTGAGCGGGTAGGCACAAGCTCAAGGTCACTCCTAGCCTGTCCCTCAACCCCCGCAGTGTGTGGGTGGACTGGGGAAAGTGCCCCTAGAACAACTCTGAGCGGGGGCACAGGGCCTCTCATGTACGGTGAAGGTCAAGTGGGACTCTCAATTCTCCTGCCACTCTTGGAGCCTGGGCTATGCTGCTGACTCCCAACATTTTTCAGAGCCACATGGACGCTCCCCAAACCAGTTACAGGCTCTAGAAGGCAGGAGACAAGACTTTCTGGTGACCTCTGGCTAGGAGGTGAGAGCTAGGGGGAGGGAGAAGGAACAGGAAGACCATGAAACCCAGCCACCCCTAATGTTCTAGACAGGTGTGCACCACACTCAGAACTCACAGTGGCATACCGTGCCGGAGGCCATGTTGCCAGCCTGCGTTTGAGAGAAGGAAGCCCAGATAAGCCATGAGCTTATTATTAGGAAGGGGAGTGGCCCTCTCCAAGCATCTTACAGGGCTTCAGGCACAGGAGACCTGAGTTCCAGTCCTGGCACTGTCCTGACTCTGTGTGACCTTGGGCAAGCCACTTCGCTTCTCTGAGGTTCTGTTTCCTTCTCTGAAAAACAGTCATCACATCTCAGAGCCACTGTGAACATTCAACAAGACCACACCATAAAGCATTCAGCATAGCACCTGGCACTGTCTCCCCAACTCTCTCCCTGACCCAGAATGCAATCAACATTTTCAGAGGATGACAGCAAAGGAGAGAACGTGCAGATCCTTCAGCAGGTGTCTCCTCACCTCTCCTGGGCTAGGGAGCCTGATTTCCATTCCACTTTGCATGAACCCAACAGACCCTCTTGTGTGGGTGGGGGCCTCAGGAGGGTCTAGCCCAGATGGTGAAGAGGCCCTGCTCCAGCTCTCCAAAGCACAGACGACTCATGCCCCCCAGGAACATGCCCCCTCTCCCCGCAAGAAGGGAAGTGAAGAAAGGAGATGGGCACCAGAGAAGTCAATGTCTATGGGTCAGAATTTTCGGCGTGATCTGAGGAGCTGTGCTTCCAACCCTGTCACCAGCACCTGGGCACAGTCCTGGGCCACTCTGTCCCCAGCAGACAGCCTGCTCCCACCCCCTACTGCAGTCTTTCTGCCTGAAGGGAGGTAGGGGAGAACAGAGACAGTTGACCCCAAAACAATGGAGGATCCCGAAGTGATGATTCACAGTCCATTCACAGCCCAACACCTCAGTGTGCAGACAGGGAAACTGAGGCCCAGCAAGGGCGAGCGGGATCTGAGAGCAAGATTATGCCTGGACCCAGTGAGAATACAGGTTACCAGGGACAGAGCTTAGCCAGGCCTCTTGGACCTCGCGCGCGCGGGCGCGCGCGCGCGCGCGCGCGTGTGTGTGTGTGTGTGTGTGTGTGTGTGACAGAGAGAAAAAGAAACAGAGAAAGATGGAGCCTGAGGCTACGTCAGAGGCCCTCAGCTGCTGCCAGACCTATCACCCCACCAGATGCACCTCAGCCTTGGCCCCTCTCCCTCTGCCAGGGCAAGTCACTCAGGGTCCACCCCCCTCACTAAACTGAGCTCCTGAGGGACGCCCTCTTGGGGACAGTCCTGGAGAGACCCTTGTCCCCTCCCTGGCCCCTCTCCCTCCAGCCCCCATCTGCTAGTAGGTGTTTGAGGTCCCTCCTCTTTCCGCCTTTTACTCATTTCCCTGAGGACGCCCTCTTGGGGACAGTCCTGGAGAGACCCTTGTCCCCTCCCTGGCCCCTCTCCCTCCAGCCCCCATCTGCTAGTAGGTGTTTGAGGTCCCTCCTCTTTCCGCCTTTTACTCATTTCCCTCAGACGCGGACACGGGCGGACACACACACCACACACACACACACACACACACACACACACACACACACTACTTGACCGCACAGCACACTATGACCCCAGTGCTTCAGGGGCTGGTTCTCACAGTCACTTGGGGTTCCTCCCCTTCTATACCATGTTCACTCACATTCATGAGGGCCCTGGTGTCCTGGTCACACCCCAGCACTCACAGTGGGCTGGGGTCACGGTCACCCGTAGTGACCCGGGATGTCTCTCTCACACAGTCACACGCACACACTCTGCCTGTCACAGACACACAGAGCCCCTCGGCGTCTCCCCCTCGGCCCAACGTCACCGCCCAGTGTCCGGGCCACACGTTCGCCCTGGCTGGGCCGCCTCACGCGCCGTGTCACCCACAGTCACGGGCTGACACCGTTCAGAACCCCCCCTCCGGCCGCCCCGCGCCGCAGCCACACTGAGGAGCCGCCGTCCCGCCCCACACCCCGTCCTGGTCTCAGTCCAAGTATCCCAGGCCGGGTCGTCTCCGAGGTCCGCCGGCTCCTCAAACTGTTAAGTTCCGCCGCCGCCTCCCCATCACGCACGGTCGGGCCTGGAGCCGCGGCCGGAGGACACACAGGTCCCCGGGCAGGGAGCTCAGAGACGGGCGGGGGTCCGTGCGCGGAAGGCGCCGGGACAGGACGCGGCGGCGGGGGGCCGCAGCGCCTGGGCTGCGGCATCCGCCGCGCCGGCGAACTTCCTCAGAGACGCTGGGAAGCAGGGGGCGCCGCTCGGGCCCGCATCCCTCTGGCCCCGGCCTCCGGGCTGGGGCTCCGCGCGTTCTCCTTACCTGGCCGCCCCGCAGCAGCTCCAGCAGCCCAGCTCCCAGGCCGACGCTGTGCCCGAGCCCGGCTCGGCGAGCGCACGGGCGGCCGCGCAGCCTGCGCGCCTTTTGAATGAATCGCCGCCCGGTCCGGGAAGGCGCGCAGCCCCGCCCCCGCGCGTCACGGCCGCCGGCCCCGCCTCCTACGTCAGAGCCCAGGTTCGCGACCCCCGCCCCTGGAGACCGCCATGGGGCTCGCGCTCTGCAGCCCGGCCGTGCTGTTCTGTGTCGCCATCTCTCGTGCTCCCCGGGAACTGCAGGGGGCTGCGCCGGACAAGGCCTCTCGGATCAGCCCCTTCTGGGCTCCAAACCAACAAAGAAGGGGTTGCAAGATGCAAGATAGGCTGGAGGCTTGGATGCTTCTCTGAGACCTGTCACCATTGCCAGTGCAAACGGGGCCACCGCTGTCCCTCCCTGGGTCTTGTTTTCCTCCTGGAAATTGGCAGCCAGGGACAACGACCTCACTTTGCCTTGTTGAAGAGGCCCAGATCCACCCCCAGAAACCCCACCTAGTTGTTGAGAAAGGCCTGGTGAAAGTGAATCTATAATGGAGGCCCACTTGGTGGTCTCCTGCCCATTCTTCAGGGCCCAGCCCAAACCTCCTTCCTCCAGGAGGCCTTTCCTGTCTCCATTCCCCACCCCTCCCCTCTCTGCAAGGATAGTTAGTCCCTCCTTCCAGCAGGACAGATGATACACTGCTGTCCCTTCCCTACCACCAGCTGTCCCACCCTGCTGATTCCCAATGCCAGCCATCAGGGTGCCCAGCAGGGGGTGACTAAGGACCCCAGGGCACTATTCATATTGTATTCCCAGCTCTGTGAATCATGCCCCTTGGAGTTGTGCCATATGGTGGGCCAGAACTGGAAGCAGCAGCTCAAGAGCCAGGGTTTCCCCCACTCAGTACCATTCAGGGGATCCCAGTGGCCCTCCCAGGACAGCAGGGCTGGGAGGAGATGCAGACAGTAGGGAGGGCCTTGTGCTGGGGGGGCAGAGGCCTGGCTGGGATCAAGATAATCACAGCTCATGGCAGAGGTGGAGGAAGGTAAATAAGTTGTTAGGGGAGGTGGAGAATTCTAAATAAACTGTCATAGCATCTGAGCCATGGGGTGAGGGGGTGGGAAAGGTAAGGTCTCCAGGGTCCAGGAGATCCCAGGAGGCGAACTGGACACCTGCAGAGGGAGCGGGAAAGGGGAAGAGTTTCTATTTCCTTGGGCCAGGCCCAGGTTGTGAAGGAAGGGCAGAAAGAGCTCCAGGTCACTGATGTTGGGATCATAGCACCAGCCAGGCCCCTTGTATGTCAACGGACACCCCCAGAGCTAGGTCAGGGGTGATCCCACATCCAAGCCCACAGGAGTCCAGAGAAGATCCATGCTGGGGACCTGCTGAGGGGGCTAGAGCAGCCCAGGACACCCTCTATCCCTGCAAGTGTTTTCTTTGTAAGGGGACCTTCTATGCCCCAGTTCCAAGTACTGGAGTTCAAATGGTGGCATTTCACACGCACCCAGTAGGCCAAATGGGGATATGCTTTTTGGTCAAGGAGCACTGGCTATTAATCAGACATCCTATAGAGGGTCCAGGCCTGTCTCTACTACCAGCTCTCAAATCCTTCCCCAACTCAGTTTCCCCATCTGAAAATTAGGCTGCCAAACTTGTTGCCTGTAGGTCATTCCAGTTCTCTGTGGGAGGAGGCGATCTGCCTGACGTGGCCAAGTGGGAAGGGTGAGCAGCCACCAGAGACAGAAGAAATGACCAGGGATAGAGGGGCCGAAGCAGTCCCTCCTGTCCTCTGAACCACAGCAAGCTGCAGCTGGGACCCTGCCCAAGAGTCTGGGAACATTTAGCCGCTACAGTGAGGAGACAGGGAAGGAGTTGTGGAGGCCACGAGAGAGATTTAGATCGGCTTTTTATGGAGGTTGGAGAACCACAGGCTCGAGAACAAAGGACTCTCAGAATCACAGGCTTTTAAAACTCCTGGCAACTCAGATGGATCCACGGAATCTTAGCATTACAAGCCCTGAGCCCAAGGACCTCAGAGACGATCACGTTGAACCTCTAATAGTGCAGCCAGAAAAGTGAGCCCAGAGAAGGTCCACACCTCATCCTAGGTGGCACAGCACAGTAAGCTGGGATGAGCTGTGGTGATCCAGAGGCAGGGACATGGACTCCATGTCCCACTGAGACTCTCCCCGAGGTGGGGTGGGGATCCTGGGCCACAGGATTAGAGGAAGGGGGGTGTTTGCAGGGGATCTGAGCAGATGGCAGCCCCTGGGGTTATGGACCAGAAATGGTGGTGCCCTCTGCTGGCTACCCTTAAATTCCAACGTGGACGTCCAAAGCAAGAGGAAATGTCCCGGCTCAGATTTAAATTTCAAAACTCTGCACTTGGCTAACCCCCCAACTGGCCAAGTTCTACCTCAGAAGGTGGGCTGTCCTCCTGTGTTTGTGCCTTAGCTCCAGGGGGAGGGTGGGCTTGGTTTAAGGAAAAACTGGGGTTGGGAGGCCAGGGTGGGGCTCAGCTTGGGGCAGGAGCTGAGCTGGGGCTGCTAGGCCTGAGAGCTGGGTTCTGTCCACCATTTAGGTCCAGACCCTGGCTTGGGTTTGGAATCCCACTGGGGTTGGGCTTTGGTGTCACACAGTTAGGGGTCAAGTCCTAGTTCTGCCATTGTCAGGTTGTATGGCCTTAAACTAGTGACCTCACCTCTCTGAGTGCAAGCTCACCTGCCCAGGGTGTTGTGAGGATCTGCTGAGACTCCATTTGGGGGATACCAGCTTATTCTAGGCTGCTGGGCTCAGAACCCCCATCTGCTCCCTCTGGTCCCCCACCCTCAGTGTTTGCCCTGTGTCTCTCCACAGCCCAGCATCTGGGCTCTGCCCCCATCTCTCCCTGAGGCCTGCACGTTGCCCCCTCCCCGTTCAGACCTGCATCCTGCCCCTGACCCAGCCCCTTCACTTGCCTTTGCCAGGCAGGGCTCCTCATTGGCCATAATGGGCCCAAAATAGCACTTCCCCTTGCCGCTTCCTGCAACCTGGACTGTGGCTTAAGGTCTGTGAGGACAGAAGAGAGACTTGGCGTTTGGCAGGCATGCAAAAGATGTGAAGAGCTCTCAGAGGTCACCTGGGTAAACTTTCTTCCTTTTCTGACCACAGAAAATCTTCCTACCTCGTTCTCCTGTACACCCACCCCAGCCTCAATGCTGCCTTGCTGTGTGATGTTAGGTAAGTCTCTATCCCTTTCTGTGCCTCATCTTCCTTGTGAGGTAGACATCTACCTAAACCCTGCTGTTTGTCCCTAGACCAAGGAAACACCTGGAGAACCCCCTTGGAGAGATGGCTTTTGGCCCTGACTCTGTCTTCTGAAGTCGGGACATCCTTCCCAGGGCTGGTCTGAGAAACACGTGCTAGATACCTCAAGAGTGACTGGATGTGTCTCTGGCTGCTCAGACTGTGTGTCCTGTCCTCCAGCCACCCCATGTGGCTGCCCTTCCTCTCTTCCATGAGGCACAGAGACCTGAGCAGACAGATCACGTGTGAATCCAGGCTCCACTGCTTAGTAGGCAGGTGACCTTGAGGAAGGCTTTTAACCTCTCTGTACCTCAGTTTCCTCACCTGAAAAAGATGATAATAATGGTATCAACCTCCCAGGACCACTGAGGATTAAACCGGATGATCCATGCTCCTGGCTTGCAGCAAACAATAAATGGGAGCTGGGGCTATTGTTTTGTGACATTCAAGAGCTAGAAGGGGATCCCAACTGAATTCTCTAGATTTAATTAAACAAATACTTATTGAGCACCTGCTGTGTATCAGGCACTGCAGGTGGCCTGGGGATGGAGCAATGAACAAAACGTCCCTCCCGACTCCTGAAGCTCACATTGTGGCTTCCCTGCCTTTTCCTCTTTCCCCTCTGCTCCAGCTGGGCCTACACCTCAGACCCCTCGCTCCAGGCTCCCCCACCCCTCCTTGCCTTGATTCAGGCTGTTCCTTCCCTCTCACATCAAACCCAGCGGGACCTTAGTTCCCCATCAGGGACTGAACCCGGGCCCGCAGCCGTGAAAGCGCAGAGTCCTAACCAATGGACCACTGGCAAAGTCCCTGGCCGTGCCCTTTAAAGCAGTGGTTCTCCACCTCACTAGCAAAACTAAACCATCGTGTCAGAAGCCAGGGTGGTTGTTACCCGAGAAGGGGAGACTGGGAGGGGGCATGTGGGGAGCTTTTGCATGGTGGAACGTTCTCTTTTTTGGCCGCACCACGCGGCATGTGGGATTTTAGTTCCCTGACCAGGTTGCAGAGGCTACTCCTCCTGCAATGGAAGCGCGGAGTCTTAACTGCTCGACTGCCAGGGAAGTCCCAGAAGGTTCTATTTCTTGATCTGGGTGCGTTTATGAAAACTTACCTAGCTGCCCACTAATGACTTGAGTACCTTTCTGTACAAATGTTATACTTCAACTGTTTTCCTGAAAAAATTACTGACACCTGGGTCCTACTCTCAGCATTCTCATTTAATTGGTCTGGAATGTGGCCTGGCCCCCTCAGGTGATTCGAATGTACAGCCAAGATTGAGAAGGACTGCTTTAGAGGGGCTAGTTCTTCCAGGCTTGCCCCGGGGCTGGGTGCCTAACAACTGTGCATCCCAGGACCTCCCTGCCCACAGCTGACCTGCTCAGGGCTGTGCACCTCTCTCTCCACGGGCTGCCCAATGCCCTGGGATGTGACCTGCTAAGAACAGTGGGCTGGGCCGGGCCCATTCCTACCAAGGCACCTGAGGAAAGATGATGAGGATTCAGCCTTGGGTAACCAGTGCTGAAAGTGAAGTCTATCCAGAGGTGGAAGAGGGCCTAAGGCAGCAGAAGCTGGGAAGCAGAGAGAACGGCAGCTGGCCGGCGGCGAGGCAGAGACCAGAGACTCAAGGTGGAGAGGCCAGGGGTCTTGAGATGGACCAGCAATAGCTGGGCCACTGTACTGAGAGCTATTTGCTTCCAGTTCACGTCTCCACTAATTAGCTCCCCTTTTATTTCTGGGCAGAATGAATCTCTTCCTTGCAATCCAAAGACCTGTGCACACCAAGCAAGAGTCCCATGGGGGAAAGGATTGTCAGCCCCGATTT